AAGCTGATCACTCTCGTATCACTCCAACATGACTTGATGGTCAAAATTCACTAATAAACACTAATATCACGATGATATTCTGCATAAATAACTTTAATGTAGACGTAAATCCCTCTACCAACCTTTATAAGGATAGCCCCATATTAACCCCCAGCCCCCATATAACCCCTCTTTTGGAAAATCCTTTTTTTTGTATATATTTCTGAATTATGTTAAAAATAAAATTAAATGCTTTATTATTACGAAAAAACTAATCAATATTTGTAATATAATCACTGTTGTAGGATATCATATGGTCGGCCATGACCGACAATAAGTTCTTACTTGTGTTTTTTTTTTTTTGGGTCATTGAACAATTTACACAGATATATGAACATTTTAAACAAATCATTTTTAGAACATTATTTACTAAAGGATTTTGTGTTGACATCCACTTATTTCTTAAATAAATTCATTATGACAGTCACAGTAGCAAGTTGAAGGTCAATATCCAATGGATTTGTTACAGATCTAATAATTTAAAATTTTAATTTATTAAGACGGGTTCCGTAATCTGAAAACAAAACGTTTCAATGTTAATTAAACGCTTGTAAATAAAAGATTTTGCTGCTAATTATGTATTAAATTAATAAGAATTATGATTATTGATTTTGTAAGGCAAGAAAAAAAATACTAATTAAAACAAATAAATATTTATTTAACAACAATTTATTTCAGCAGCCAGGGCTGGTGTATTCATATTGACAAAGAATTATTTTCCCTGATAATGTACATTAACATTAAGCTTCACTTTAATATGTATTGAAATGAATTTAATTTGTAACTGCTTGTCATCCTAATTACATAGAAGTAGTTTAATAACGCCTTATTAATAATGTGTTATATAAATATGTGCTTTGTTTTTCATTAGTCATAGAATCTGTATAGGTTTTATCATGCAATTTACTTTCACTAATTTTTCCAATTACATTGTAAACGATTGTGGTAAGTACTTAGGATAATGGCTAAAAATACTTAAAATAAAAGTTTTTGCTGCGTACACAAGAGCTATTTTGAAAAAAAAAAATAAATAAATAAATCAGTATGCTCTCAACAAAACCAAGTTTGTGTCTTAAGTCTTTCGTTTTAATGAAAGCTATTGGCAAATTTCTAGATGAACAAAAATCATAAAAATAAAAAATTCCTATTTTTAGAACATTTATTGATATTTTTAGTTGGAACATAAAAAAATATATCTTCAAATGTTGCGCTATAAATATTAATGTTCATGTTTTATCTTTAAGAGCAAGATAAATAAATTAATGGATTTTTAATAAATTTTAAATGATTTTTTTTTTTTTTTAATCATTATTAATGTTGTGATTTAAGTGTCTTTTATACAATATAAATATCAACTCAATCCTTATTTCGAAAGTTATTTCTTTATTTTTACTTGTTAGAAGACCCCAATTCTAATTTTGAGTTACAGTGGGTCCAAGTTTGACATTTTTACAAATCCACTATGTAACTTATTAACTATTGTTTATTCATTTATTCAATCATTCTAAAAATATTTAAACAAAAATAGAGCTTTTGGTCGTTTAGTGCGTTACGAGTGGGATACATATCAAAACAATTTTAGACACATTTTTAGCAGTTGCCCTATTTTGTATATTTTTCCTATTTGCGTGTAAGTCATTCTAAAACCTGAAAAAATGACAAATATACTGAGAAACTAGAAAAATAACCTTTCCGATGGTATGTAACATGCCAAATTAAAATCTCATACCGTCGCTATTGTAATACTCCCTTTATGTAAACCTCAAGAACAAAATCAACTTTTTCATGTGATTTATCAGAGAACTATAAAATGTACTTATGCACAGTGGAACAAAATTTGACGTATGAGTATTTCAGTAAAAAATTTTAGAATAGAGTTGACTGGTTTTCAGAACCTGCGGAATCGTCGTCATTTTCTTTTTCTTCCTTGGGCGGAACCTCCAGCTTAGCACCAGAGGCGGCAGCACGTTTGGCATTGCTTCGACAAATGTGGAGGTAGATGCTATCGAAACAGTAGTATAATTTCTGACGTCCCTTATTGGGGCGGAGACCTTCACCACCATGGGTAGGTAAATTTCCGCAGGGTCATGTGGTTCAGCTGGGATGGTGGCAATGGAACTCAGTGTACGAGGTATCTCGACTACCGGTACGATGTCCAACCTTGCACATGGCCACACTTCCCCACGGGACTCAATAGCTAACTTGTGGAGAAGCGCAGAGCGCATTTGAGCAAGCTAGGAGTTTTATATGACCCTGGAATCAGCCAGCATCATCATTCTAGGGGCGGGTCCCGGATTCTCCCATAGGATCTTCCAGTATATGCAAATAATCTTGTGACCGATAGTCCCCCACTTTTCATTGGAGATGGCTCCGTCACAGATGCTGAGTCACTAATAGCCCTTATCAGCGGGTTTCTAGCTACCTCACTAAAAGGCCTATTAATGACAATGGTTTGCGCCATTAAGCCTATAGGTAGAACTGCCTTTAATGACAGGACTATACAAAATTTACCAAACATATTAGTGATGTGAAGAGAGGACGAATGTAGAAGTGCTTTACGTGAACACCTGCCATGTTGGTCTATTTCATGGTGGTTTTTTTCATCCACTGGGTGAGCTAAAATATAACAACTCACCACCGCCTATTGTGTTTCTTACACGTCGGTCGTAATTTAAGTATATGAATGCCGGTCCATTATACGCGCACTTTGCTGTAATACTCAAACTATCTAATCTCTTGCCATAGTAGCCACGTTGGGGAAGGACAGGTGTCATAACCAAGCTCAATCTAACCTCGACAAAGGAAAAGGCAATCACTGGTTTGAGTCAATATAAGGGGCATACCCAACATCAGGTGAAAACACCCCATTGATGTTATGTCATCTGTCCACAGACTCTGTTCTGTACACAGACCTTTGTCATTTGAATAGAAAATTAGTCAACGCATTATATATAGGTTTATATCAGCCCTTAAACCAACAATCTCTTCCCGCGATTTTGGGTTTAAACCACAGCCATTACGTAGATCCCGAAGGAACCTCAACCAAGTGACCACCAGGACAAGTCCTGTGGGCAACTGACCACCTGTAGTACCAGATTATGTGCTTCTCTGGTTAGACCCCATGTCAAAGAGAAGAAGAGAGGACAGCAAAACTTCAGAACACTTTCTTTATCATTATCAGACTTTCGTCGAATTTATATCCAAATGAGAATGTCTCTTAGGGACGCTGATTGGAAAATTCTATAGAAACTAAGTTTCTCTTTATCTCACATTTTGTTGAAATGAGTCAAAAGTGAAGCTTAATTATACCCTACACCACTTTAGTGGGGAGGGTCGGCCTCGCCCGACTATAATTTCTTACTTGTTGAATTTTAGAATTAAGATTTATATTTGTTTGGTACCTGTTAAAACATATACATAAAATTTTTCATTAGTATATTCAAACATCTAAGTTATCCACTGAGCTGTCAAAGTCAAATAATGTATATTTTTATTCAAATCAAGCACAAAATTCAAGAAAATTTAAAAAAATGCCAAAAACTTTAGATTTAGATTCCCGTGTTAATCAGATTTTTCCATCAATATTTACCAAGGATCGTGCAACAGGCCCGATAGCGACTTAAATATGTATATTTCTTCGCATCTGATGTTTTATACATCCTCCTTTCAACCCAACTTTATTTTTCTAAAAATTTTGAAAAATCTACTTACCATCCTTTAAAGTGATTAATAAAAGATAAACAAATTTTAATTTAAATTAATTTTTTTAAATTTTTTTTTTTTAAATAGTGAGCTTTAATCATATTCATAGCCATTTTTTCTTAAGTAAGTGAGACAATATAAGTACATATGAGATTTTTTGTTTAATAGATTTAATTTAATTAGATTATATTTTAATAATTATATCACATTAATTAACAACAGTTTAATTTTTTCAATAACAATTTTTGTATAAATATATTTAACACATACAATAAACATTTATTCAAAAATATTTAACTAAACTTCAGTTAACAATTTAATTTTAAATTTGTCTACTTCAAACAATTTAACTACAAATTTTGGAAGCTGTTAATGTTTATTTAATAAAATGAGACTATTATCATTATTCGAATCTACTAACCATTATTTCTTTTGCTATATTTATTATTACAAATTAACAAAGATAAATATAAATTTACTTGTGTTAATATTTATTTTGATTAAGACTCTATTTACACATCACTTGTATTTTGTCATCATTCTCGATATTATCACTTAACATCACCATTATATCGTATCATTGTCAACTTTATCATCAGTTCATTTGCAATCTTTTTATGTCCAATGTCAGTATTAATAAAGACAAAAAGATTGTACCTATTTAACATTTTACAAAATTATCCTACCAGTTCATTTTTTTCCAATATCATTATAAAAACAAATAAACAAACAGGAAAGAATTTATAATCGGGCATGGCCGACCATATGATATCCTACATCAGTGATTATGTTACAATTTTTGATTATTTTTTTAATAATGAGGTATTTAATTTAATTATTACTTTAATTCAGAAAAAGACATTTCCTAAAAGGTGGGTAATATGGTAGAAGTATAACATCAGTTATTTATGCAGAATATCATGGTGTTATTAGTGTTTATAAGTGAATTTTGACCATCAAGTCATTTTCTGAAGGGGAATTTTTATGGGAGATAGGGTCAAATGAGGCCCGATTATAACGAAAATCAGCAGTCTCATTAAGACTTATATAAAACTAAGTTTTGTCGATTTTTGAAGTGATACAAGAACATTTAACATATTTATGAGCTCAAAAGCCCTATTCGGGGGGTACGGTTGTATGGGAGCTATACGAAATAATGGTCCGATTTTAACCATTTTTAATAGGGTTCGTTCTTAGGTCAAAAGAAGAGTATGTGCCAAATTTCATAAAATTATCTTGATCCTGTATCTTGCGACCTGTAGAGTGCGCACAGGGTTTACATGGACACACAGACGGACGGACAGACAGACAGACAGACAGACAGACGGACATAGCTAAATCGACTCAGAGAGTAATTCTGAGCCGATTGCTATAATTTAAAGTGGATGTCGGACCAATATTTTTAGGTATTACAAACATCAGCATAAACGCATAATATCCTCCACACTATAGTGGTGTAGGGTATATATATAGATTTTATACATAGTATGTAGTTATTTTTACTTATATTCAGGTGTAGATATGTTAACGAACATACGAAAATATGTATATAGTCAACGACAAACTTAAAAATATTGATTAATCCCTCGTAATGAGTTGTGCTTATACAACCACTTACTTTTCAGTGACTTCTACATACCATCTTCATGACTTTTAAGTTATCTTATAATGATTTACACATAATAAGATAAGTAGGTACTTGATTTTGAGTTTTGCAGTTTACAATTTATACGATCGCTCGCTGGCAACTGTTTTTCTACACGCACTGAAGGAAAATAGTTTTTGTCGTTGACTGTATATTATCTAAATTTTACAATACAAATAAAAAGTATAGTTCTCTTAATTTCAAAACTATTTAAATAATGAATAACATAAAACAATAACTTTAAAAGTATTTGGTAATATGTAACTTCCACTAAATCTTTGTTTTAAACACGCGTTGCTGTAATTACATCAAATATTTGAAATCTCTTAAAGTATCTTAGTAATAAAGACATTAAACAATCAGTCAGTTTATATAGACATGTGTGTATTCTACATAAATTTCAGACAGTAAATACAAAACAATAATCCTTACTTTACTTTCATATGATAAATGATGGTCCTTTATTTTAACAATACACAATCCTACAGTTTTATTTGTTCCTTGTTTGTTTTCATAACTTATAAAAAAATATATATATTTAATTTGCTTGCAATTCAATTTGCATATCGTACTAGTATTATTTTATACAATCTCCCCTTTCAGTAATACTTTTTAGTCGTATTGAATAAATAGAATTGAAATACGCGCTTGGAGGAACACGAATACATTAATACATACATATAAATATATACATATGAAGATTTATTTACATTTTGTCTCAATTACCTGTCATCATGCAATATTATTTCTCTTTTAATAATTTAACAATTCTTGTTTTTTTTAGCCAATTTATCCATAAGTTACCATAGGCATTTCAATTCCATTCCTTTCATTTGTGTTTTCTTTCTGTTAGTTTTAGTAAAGCTATGTAATTTTTTTTAAAAGTACAACTTTTTTTGTGTGCAGAACATACAGTTATGGTATTTATAGTTTATTTTTTAATAATATTTATTAATTGAAAGTTTATCTTTTAAATGTTAAAGGTACTTTAAGTTTTTAGAAGCAGGTATACTTTGTTTATCTGTTGTTAACTTCTTTTTTAGTTTTTATAAGGAAAAGTGCGTTTATTATGTAGTTTATGATTGCTATACTGCAGTTTAACCACTTGTTAACCAGGTTTTAAGATGAATAAAAAGATATTCGCCTACTTCGGAAAGGTTAGTCAGGAAAGCTGAAAAAGGAAAAAAATACGATGAAAATATAAGAGACTCTTTCATATAATAAAAACAAGTATTCTAATGGCACATATTTGACTATATGACACCCTACACCAGTGATTTTGTTAAAAATGTTGATTATTTTTTTAATAATAAAGTATTTCATTTCATTTTTACCTTAATTCAAAAATATTTTAGCAATTTGTAGACAAAAAAAAAGAGATTTTCTAAATGAGGGGTTATATGGAGGCAGGGGGCTAATATGGTCCTATCTTTATAAATTTTGGTAGAGGGATTTACGTCTACATTAATTATTTATGCAGAATATCATCGTGATTCTAGTGTTTATAAGTGAATTTTGACCATCATGTCATTTGCTGAAGGGGACTTTGTATGGGGGGTAGTGTCAAATGAGGTCCGATCATCAGGAGTATCATTAAGACTTATATAAAACTAAGTTTTGCCGATTTTTGAATTGATACAAAAACATTTAACATATTATGAGCTCAAAAGACCTATTCGGGGGGTACGGTTGTATGGCGGCTATACGAAATAATGGACCGATTTTAGCCATTTTCAATAGGCTTCGTTTTTAGGTCATAAGAAGAGTATGTGTCAAATTGCATCAAATTATCTTGATGAAAGTTTACATGGACACACAGACGGATAGACGGACAAAGCTAAATCGACTCAGAAAGCAATTCTGAGCCGATTGGTATAATTTAAGGTGGGTGTAGAATCAATATTTTTGGGTGTTAAAAACATCAACACAAACGCATAATACCCTCCCCACTATAGTGGTGTAGAGTATAAAAATTTATTCAAACTTTCTTTTAGAAATTAAATTTATTAAATTCATCAAACATTTCATATTAAAAGAATGTTTTTCCATAATTTTTTATTATTTTTTTAGAAAATTTCTTATGAAAACAGAATTTATCGATAATTTGCAATAAAAATGAAATTAAAAGAAATTTTTCTATAAAAACAGAATTTATCGAAAAATTTAAATTTAAAAATTTAATTTAACGAAAATTTCCTATAAAATCGTTACTTGTCGAAATTTTTCTATGAAAACGAATTGTATCGAAGATTTTCGATAAAAAAGAATTTAACATTTTCCTATGAGAATAAAATTTATCAAAAATTTCGGATTATAACGAAATTTAACGGAAATTTTCTATAATAAGGAATTTTATCAAAAATTATCTTAAGAAACGAAATTTATAGAAAATTTCCTATAAAAACGGCATTTATCGAAAAATTTCTATAAAAACGGAATTTATCGAAAATTTCGTATATAAACGGATTTTATCGAAAATTTCCTATAAAAATGGAATCGAAAATTTGTATTAAAAACGAAATTTATTGAATATTTTCCACAAAAAATATAGATTTACTAAAGAATCGAAATTTATGGAAAATTTCCTATAAAAACGGAATTTATATAAAAATTTTGTTAAAAACAGAATTTATAGGAAATTAACTATAATATCGAAATGTATCGAAAATTTCTTTAATTTGTAAATTTATTGAACATTTCCTATAAAAACGAAATTTATCTAAAATTTCTTATAATATCGAAATTAATGGAAAATTTCCTTAAATATTGAAATGTATCTAAAATTTCCTATAAAAACGAAATTTATTGAAATTTTTCTTAACAACGAAATTTATGGAAAATATTATATAAAAACGGAATTATTGTTAATTTCCTTTAAAGACGGAATTAATCGAAAATTTCATTTAATATCGATATTTATGGAACTTAATGAAAATTCTCTATAAAAAAGGAATTTATGGAAAATGTCCATAAGAAAGGAATTTATCCAAAAATTTTCTTTAAAAACGGAATTTATTGTAAATTTCCTGAAATATCGAAATTTATTAAAAATTTCCTTTACAATCGAAATTTCTGGAAAATTTTCTATAAAAACGATATTTATCGAAATTGTCCTATAATAACAAAATTAATGGAAAATTTTCTATAAAAATTGAACGAATTTTCTAGAAAAAATGGAACTGAAACGGAATTGTAGTAAATTTCCTTTGAAGACGGAATTACTTGAAATTTTTCTATGACAACGAAATTTAAATTTGTATAAAAACAAAATTTATGGAAAATTTTCTATATAAATATATAGAATACAATATCTAGAAAATACTCTGAGTATATAAACATAATTTCTCATAAAAATTTCCTTTTAAAGCGAATTTCATTGAAAATTGGGTCTGAAACACAATGAGTATATTTCCTATAATAGAAAATGTAGGAAAAATGGAACATTTATCAAAACTTTCGGTTAAAATGTATTAAAACAATTCCAAAATGTCCCTTAAAAATTTTAAATTTTCAAAAACATAAGCTTAATTAATATTTAAATTAAATACCTGGCACTCCTTTTAACAAATCATAAAATTAACAAATAAATACCACCTGTCAAACTTAAAATCATGTGCATAAATCGTAATTAAAAACCCTTATACGGATGTTGGCATTTAAATACTTGACATTACAAAAGGTCAATTAATATTAATTTAATATTTACTTTCCAATTTAATTTCAACATCTATGTCGATTAAAATCAATCATCACTTTTAATCGATTATAATTCAAATGAATACTTAAGTTTATAACAAAAATTACAATACAAAAACTATTAGAATTTAAACACTAACATTTGATGATGATGTCTTGATAAGTAAAAGCAATCAAACATTTATTACATTATACTATATGAATAGAATATTCAATATAATTATTCCAAAGGGTGCGAATTCGTTATGGCTCGCGCGCGCGATCTTGTGCATTTAATGGTGCAATCTATCTACACATACGAGATTAATACACAAACAAGATTAACATGATCATTATTATCTTTCATCATAATAAACTCAAATTATTATTTGAGAAATTAAGAAAACGTGTCTTATAATTAAATTCAATTAATTATTAAGAAGAATGTTTTGCAAGCGGCAAAAGTGAGTCGTGTTCTAACCCTAACAAAAAAATAAATATGTTGTTTTATTAAAGAAAGTCCATATAATTAGTTGTGCATAAGTATTTAAATATAAACACCTTTAACTTTTATCTTAAACAGCTGCAGTCTTTTAATGGGAAATAAAAATTTCCTATAAATAATTTTTTTTTCGAAAAGTGCCATTAGGGATTTACAAGATCTGTTTTAAAACGTTCATTAAATGTAAACATTTGTAAGTGCATAGAAGTCATAAGTATTTAAAATCTAAGAACGCAAAACAATACTTGATAAATGAATGAATTATAAACGAAATTAATATTGAAAAGAAATAAAAAAAAGTAGCTAGAGAACAACATAAACAATTTACAACTTTTGCAAACAAAATAGACAGACTTCAAAGAAGCAAAACGACACAATGTTAAATGCCACAATACATTCTAATTTATTAAACAAGAAATACAAAATAAACACATATTTAAATAGTAAATTTAATAAATATTTTGTAGAGTTTTGCAATAGACAATATCTAATGCAAAACGATGTAATAATAATAGTTCATGTTAACGTATCTAAACAACTCATATAGCGATTTGAGGCTCATCATCAGCATCATCAGCGCATCCCAGTCATGTTATTTATGATGTTTTTCATTGTGCAAATTTACATACATGTAGTTCGAATCATCGTAATATGTAGATACATGATGTGTATATGTAGACTTATTTGCATACACAAATTACAATATTAATTTACACTTAAATTTACATATAAAATGAACCTTACATGACAAGTAAAGCAGCAGGCAGAGCAGCAGCAAGAAGAAACACGTATATTAAACAAACAGACTGTCAGACAGTCACACAACTATTGCTACTGCATTTAACTCTTTGAATTATTATCATTATTGTTATTTCGACTACTATTTTGTTTAAGTGCCTGGTCTGGACTGGCGCTTACAATAACAAAACCCGGAAACTAAAGCTTTTAACCATATGTGTATGTAATGTATTCATATTTGTATTATTGGAAATATAAAATGGATATTTCATAGAAAACGTTTTCCTCAATTGTCACAGTTTTCTCACAAGCACTGAGGATTTGCAGAGCTTTATATTAAAGCTGTTAAATAAAAAATTACCAAAAATTTCCTTAAATAGAAATTATATCGAAAGTATGTCATAAATAAGAAGAATTATCAAGAATTTGCTCTTAAGAGAAAATTAGTCGAAAATATCACATACAGAAATATACAAATAATCGAAAATTTTCTGCTTGTAAGAAATAATTGAAATAAAAAATTTATCGAAATATCCCAAACATAGTTTTTTTTTTTAATATATCGAAAAATTATCAAAATTTTCCCATTAAATGAAAACGATCGCAAATTTCGCATAAATATAAAAATTATCGTAAATATCATATAATAACAAAATATTTAATAAATAAGAAACTATCGAAAAATGTAGCACAAAAAATAAATTTATCAAAAAATATAATTTTATCGAAAATTGTTAAAAAAAAGTCCTATTCGGAGGGTTCAGTTGTAGGTGAAAGAATGGACCGATGTTAACCATTTTCAATAGGCTTCGTCTCTGGTATAATAGAAGATCATCATATGCAAAATTTCATTGAATTATCTTCAAAATAGTTTGATTGCAAGGTTTACAAGCCCTATTCGGGGGTTCAGTTGTATGGGGGCTAGGTGAAATAATAGACCGATCTTAACCATTTTCAGAGTGTCCCTGGGACAATAGAAGATCATGTATCAAATTTCATTGAATTATCTTCAAAACTGCGACCTGTAGTTTGATTATAAAGTTTTCATGGACGGACGGACAGACAGCCGGACGGACATAGCCAAATCGATTCAAAAAATGATTCTAAGCCGATTGGTATACTTTAAGGTGGGTATAGGACCAATATTATTATATTATTAGTTACAAACATCAGCACAAACCCCACTTTATCTACAGTAAAAAAAAAATATTAAAAATGTAACACAAAAATTTTATTCATTAAAAATTTTTCGCAGT